TTAACCCCTTAACTGTCACCCCCCATTTTTTAAAATAGGCATTAAAGTGCACTATCCAAACTTAAATTGCTATAATTCATGAACACTTTGGAATACAGAGGAAAGGTTGGTCTCTTTTTAAAGAAGACAGTCAGCAGATTATTGCAGAAGTGGAATTAAAATATCAAAAAGTTATAGAAGTTTAAATTTACTGAAAAGAAAATGCACTGTACAATTTTTATTATATTTTATATAAAATAAATTTTTACATAACAGGTTTTACTCTAAATTTGCTTAAAAAATGTAAAGCCTTATGTCTAAATAAGTTATGTTCCAAATTTGAAGTTGATATGAAAAAAATTGAGGTTTCTGTGAGATTTTATTTAGGGCGTTATACTACAAACAGCCACTGGGTGCCATCAAAAATCCATTGCAATTTTTTTGATGCATTTGTCTGTCACAAATGTCTAGATTTCTCTGTCAATATTACTTCTATTACTTCACAAAATAACCACCAAATATGGAATCCTGAGACTCAGACCTTTCCAATGATATGTTTTATGTCAAGATTATAAAAAGTTTTGATTGTAAAAGACCGTAATGCATTTTGTAATATGACACTTGACACCGCTGCTAAGGGGGAGGAGACCGCATATTTTGCAGTGTACTCACCCTCATGTCGTCCCCATTGACTTCAATAGTATTTCTTTCCCTGCTATGAAAGTCAGTGGGGACCAACAACTGTTTGGCTCTTCAAAATTCTTTAATATATCTTCTGATGTCATTGGAACGACATGAGGGTGAGAACATGACAAATTTTTCATTTTTGGGTGAACTATTCCTTTAATGGTTTTGTAATTTGGCATAGTATGAATAACATAAAATTGTATAAAAGCTAATGATTTAATTTTGCAAACATGTTTTCTTAATTTTCACAGTTGGTATTTTTCATGACAGTATAAATGGATCAAGTGTGAAAATATAGTTAGTTGCCTATAAACAGTTTTGAGATTTGAGGATCTGTTATCATAGTTAGAAAGGCTCAGATTTAATAGACTGACCTTTTATGTATGATTTTTTGACTATAATCACTATTTTGAGATTGTTTCAGTTGTTTCAAATATCACAGTTGTTGTTTTGCTGCTCGATTTTTGTTACAGTAAGCACAACATTTTTCGCATGGTTCTCATTATTCCAACCACTGAAAACATCAACTTTGATACACACTATTAGTGTCTCAATGTTTTATATTTTATTCCAAACACTGTCAAAGTTGCTGTTTAACCACATTCTAATAAACACAAACCATACTGAGCTACTGCTACTGGTTCTGTGGCTTGGGTTGTTTTGGTTGGATCAGAATTTCTTGCTTCCACTCACTCACTTCCAGGGCCATGAAATGGTTCTGTTTTTTATTTCTTCTTTTGCGGAGTCAGTTAATATCTCTTTTAAGTCTAAGTAACCAACCCTTTTCTCTTCTTCTGAAGAATCCGAGTTAGGGAGAGACTGGCCCGTGACGAGCCGTTTCACAGGGGTCAAACAGCAGAAGGACCTGCATACAACCAGTTTCCCCAGTCATACCCTCGATATCACCCTCACAATCGGAACCTACCTGATGCTCCAGCCAAACAGCGGCTGACCCACTCTGGACAAGAGGAACGCCATGACCTGGGGTGCCAGAGCTACTTCTCTATGGGCAGTGAATCCGCTTCCAGGCATAAACAAGAGATTCAAGAAGTGCTTGAACCAGAGGGAAAACAGGATGTGAGGACAGTGGGGCTCCTGTGGAGCAGGAAGGCAGTTTTACCTTCTGAAATTCATCAGAAAGAACGGAGCACTGAAGACCCGTGCCAAGGAAGTACCGACAACATAGAGGTAAACCCAGGCATTAGTCGGCACAGAAGGGAGGATATTGCAGATGACCCCAGAGGGCGCCGTGGAGGTCAGTCAAGACGGGAAGTTTACACACAGCATGTGTCCCGACTTCAGGCCACAGAGTCTATGCAAGCAAGAGCTCGAGAGGCCCACAGAAGGACTGACGCTAGCTGCTACGCCCCAATCCAGACCTCCAGTGGGAGATATATGCCAAAACTTTTGGATACTGGAAATGTCCAACAGAATGCCATCCAGAACCCAATCAGAGAGCCTGTCCGTCAGGAGAAAGTGCTTAATGGTGATCCCCTATCCCATGATGCAAGGGTTTCAGTTGCCCAACTCCGCCACACCTACCTGGAAAGTGTTGCGTGTCCCCGGAAAGCCGAACTGTAGGTGGTGGTACATTATCATTATGTGTCGACTTACTAACATTATCTAACATTGCTGATTAACATGCAGTTAATCAAAATCTCATCTTATGTAACTGCTTGGAGAATGAAATATTAGAAGAGACATTGTGATCTTACAGAGGAATCACTCATTCAAAGCTGACCAGCAGATTTTAATGCTCTATTCTTTCAGCCATCATGCTGCTCGGCTTGTCTAGCGCGCACTTTGTCAGTAATAATTAACCATTTCTGCCTGTCTTTCTTCTTACCTTGGCTTGGCAGCTTTGTATTTCTAGAGACAATTATGTGTGAATTTATGCTAGTTGTTCTGACAAAATAGTTCTTAACCATTTTTTATGTTTGTAGGGTTTTCATTAGTTAGTTTAACCCACTATGAGGATGCTTAGATGAAATATTCATCCGGCATTAGCATTTTGCCTGTGCACCTGCCATTCTTCAATGCTGCCTCGTTCAGTCATGCTTTGTGACATAATAGGGCAGAAGAGGTGCCTCCAGATACACATGCACCCTGGAGAAGTGAGAGAGTCAAAGATCGCTCATCTCGTCGCCCTTTGCGGTATATATGTCCTACTGAGAATAGAAAGACATCTGAGAGGTTTAGAACGCAGCCTATCACATCAACTGAGCGTGAACAGTCGGACCGGTAGGCATTTTGAGTAGTTTTATGCACGATATTGTAGAGTTGTCCTGGAGTGCAAATTTAAAATGACACTTGATGTGCAGAAAACTAAACCCAGATTGGTTCAAAATTTATTTTTTAATTTACCCTTTTTAACTGCACTGTATTTATGCACTGGTTACTTCAAGATAGCTTTTGGCTCACTAAATAATTTTACTCCTTTAACACACTGTATACTGTTTTTATGTGTAGTGGATTCTAATCCAAAGGTTTGGTCAGTGGATTTTATGAAAGGCTCTTTGTTGTAATTTTTTTTCTTCCTCTTCTATTTCTGTGGCATGTTGCGAAATCTATAATTCTGTCAAACGCTCTGGATTAAGCAGGCCTGATTATGTTTTCTGCACTTTCCCACTAGCTGCTTTGTGTATTTTCCCGATTCTCTTTTTCTTAAATATGCTGCTGCTTTTGTCTGCTTACACTATTGCAAGTCAGCTCGTTGACCATCATTTTAAAATCCAAAATTGTAACCCTTTTTTAAGACTTCAACTTTTGTTCTCTTTAGGTCTCATCTAAGCCCTGAACCACTGAGCCCTGAAGGTAAGTTTTTTTTTTTTTTTTTTTTTTTTTTTTTTGCATACACAACACAATCTCTATTATCACTTAAGGTTTAATATAGCATATCTTTCTATTGTGTCATTAAAAATAGAAAGTCACTCTAGCCACCTTTAGTTGCTGTCTTGCTGTCTTGGCTTATCATGTATACAAACTTTGTGATTGGGCAGGATGACACAATAACATTACAAAACTTTTGCATTAGTTTCATATGTGTGCAGCTCAGTAATACAAACTGATATGCTGATAGTACATACAATTGTTGAAACAAATGTGTTGCTTAATATATTTGTTGTAAACCATAATACATTTTAGTATTACACTTCTGCAAAGCACAGCATTTATTTGGGAAGAATAAATCAGTCTAATGCATCCTTGCTGAATAAAAATGTGTTGAATTAATGCTGACCCTAACATTTTCAACAGTTAAAGTTCTGCCTCGAGCAAGATGTAAAAATAAATAAATATTATTTGATACTTTGAAATAAAAATTTGGTTAATCTTTGAAACACAAATTAGAATATTTTTAATTAAACTTAATGGCACATGAATCTAAGTTTTGGTTTCCTGAACTTTCAATGGAGGTATAGAAGTCTCTCTAGTTTCATTAAAAATAACCTAATTTGTATTTTGAAGATTAACCAAAATTCTATGGGTTTGAAGCAACATGGTGAGTAAATGGTCACAGATTTTCATTTTTGGGGGGAACTGTCCCTTTAAGTGTTGCATAAATCATGCCACACTTTATATTAGAGCAGATTGTAATATAATACGCTGCATTTGGTAGATGTACAGCATTTATTTTCCCCTGCTGTGCCTTATTTAAGGTTAACCTTTGTGAAATCAGAGTAGAGAAGCAGAAATTTGCTTGTTTAATCTTTCTACCATGTGTTTAGCATTGTGTTTGTCCTCTGAAAGTCTTAGGATTTAATGAAATAGTTCTCATGAAAAGGCTTCTGACTCATTATTTTCTTCTCTCCTTCCTGTGTTTTTCCAGTGGATGAAGAGAAGTTGGATGAGAGAGCAAAGCTGAGTGTAGCCGCCAAGCGCTCTCTTTTCAGGGTATGTGGTGCTTGAGTGTGTCTGTGCTTCTGTTCCAAACCCTGAAAGTGAGCTGCTTCCTTTCTACTGTCTATAAAGACAGCATCCTAACCAAAATCTTTTTAAGTGGCTTATTTGAAACACTCTGTGTTGGCCACAATCCTGCCAGTGGTTATGCAGACCACACAAATATTGTCCCTTACATGAAGTGCACATAAGAATTAGGGCTGCACGATAAATCGCATGCGATATTTAACGCGCATCTTGTCAGAAAGCCGGTTCTGTAATCAGCGGTAAATCTCCATCACCTGCATGCTTTCACATTGAGCAGCATTAACTACACAGAGCCGTTGTGTCGCGCGAATATGAACGTGGTTTTGCACAGCTCGTCTGTGAACAATGGCTCTGTGTAGTTAATGCTGCTCAATGTGAAAGCACGCACGTGATGGAGATTTACCGCTGATTACAGAATGGCTTTACTGACAAGATGCGCGTTAAATATCGCATGCGATTTATCGTGCAGCCCTAATAAGAATCGACCACAGCTCTGTTGATTCCAATGGAGTCTGATGTTAGCATGTTGCTAAGCTAACTATCTGATGCTCTAATAAACACAACAAATGCATAACACACCAATATTGGGTGAAGTTTTGCATTTTAAATTAGATAGCACAATATTCAGTTGTTACTTTTCAGTGCTGAATAAAACATGACTCTTAATCATCCTGCCATCTGAATGAAATTTAAATTTTCTCTGAGCTTCTCTGAAAATCCCCCCACCCCCCCATTCATTTCTCTCTTTGATAAAGTCCAACACAAGATCTCTTTTGCTGCCTGATGATAGAAACATGACATTGGTGACTAACAATGCAGCTTAAACTTTCAGTTTTCTAGTTTTTGGAACAGAGCTTGTCTGACTGTGGTTGTACATGCTTATTAATTTGGCATTCCAAGAATTGTGTAAAGAGGACACACCTCAGTCCATTACCCCTCAACTCTCACATCATACAAACATGCACATTCCTCAAATATGACCAAATTTAGTGAGTCTAATAGAAACCTGACTTAAAGGGGAAAACATCTGATATCTTGAACAAGCTAGTAAAGTTCCTCAAAGTCAAATGCAGCATTTTAGTGTTTTTATTTTTTGTTTATATTTATTTTGTTAGAAGTTATTGTGCAAAGCTTTCATACAAAGCCTTCCTGTTTCTTAGGAGCTTGAAAAGACTTCAGATGGTTCAGTTTTGAAGGCATGGAGCCGTAATCCTGCTGTTGAACGCAGGCTGAGGAGAGGTCAGGATCGCTCCCGCACTCAGCCCGTCACCTCAGAGGAAGTGGTCATTGCTGCTACGTAAGTTTTATAGTATGTGACGTGTTCAATAATTCAGGTTGAGGGCACAAAAAAACCCCAAATGTTTCCATTTGTTAGCTTCAAAATTTGGCAAGATATAAACTACAGTTCAGTGGTGTGTCTGTAACTTTTTTAAAGGGGTGGTTGATTGCGATTTCACTAACGTTAGTTAGTTTGTAATTTTGCTGTTTGAGCATAAACAACATCTGCAAAGTTGCGGTGCTGAAAGTTCAATGCAAACGGAGATATCGTCTTTTAAAATTCTGGCAGTTTAATGCCTACAAAAACGGCTCGTAGGGACTACAATGGCTACGTTTACATGCAACCAAATAATCCATTTGTAATCGGATTGACGGCTCAATCAGATTGAAAAACCTTCATGTAAACACCTTAATCGATCCGATTGAGCTCGATCGGAATGAAATTTCGATCGGATTGAAGGGGTGGTTTATTCCTTTTCTAATACGATTGAGAGTGCATGTAAACACTACATTCAGATTCATCAATCGGAATGAATTCAGTCCGATTGAACCAAAAATTGTGCATGTAAACGTAGCCACTGAGTTACTTCCCGGGTTTGTGACATCACAAACCCAGACAAACCCCGTCCCCGGGAACATGCAACAAAGGGTGCGAGGCCATAGAGAAGAGGAAGAGTTGTTACCATGCCGTTAAAACTAGGGGTGCAGGAAAACATCTATTTATATATGAATCGCGATTCTGTCTTCTAACGATTCTAATGGATTCACAAGTTCTAATCCTGTTCCTCGCGTCGCCCTGCTGCACACGCTCTGCATCTCTCTCTCATTCAGATCACCAGCTCAGCTCAAGCAATGAACTGTTCCATTTATACACTTATTTTCATATAGCTATGAGAAGCTTTATACATGGACGCGCGTGCGGTTGCCGTACTGTATTAAAGCTTTAATCGGGATAAAACCGTGTATTCAAAGCTAACAGAAGCAGTAGCATTTACAAATAACAGCGTATCTAAATGTACGAGACAACAACAAACAAAAAACATACAATTAAGAGCCGTGCTTGCACAGGTAGACACACATTAGAGGCGGTTTAGCCAATCACAACACATTGGACTAACTAACCAATCAGAGCCCATCATGTATTTCTGAGGGAAGGGCTTCATAAAAGCAGGAAATGATCAGCGCGTTAATAGGAGAAGGGACAAAGCGGTGTGGAATAAAGGTAAATTATGTGAAAAATAATGTGTATTTTTAAAAATGAAGCATTAACACATGTTAGACTGCACCCCATAAACACAGTCAAGCCTAGAAAAAAAACAGTCAACCACCCCTTTAATGTTTTTGAAAGAAGTCTCTTATATTCACTATTTATTTGATCAAAAATACAGTAAAAACAGCAATGTTATGAAATTATTACAATTTAAAATAGCTGGTTTCTATTTTAATAGGCCTATATTTTAAAATATTATTTATTTATTTGCTCTAAACTTCAGTGTCACGTGATTTCATGCTCAAGAAACATTGTTTAAAACAGTTATTATATTTTTGTAGAAATCGTGAAACTTTTTTTCTTATTCATTGATGAATAGACATTTCAAAAGAACAGCATTTATTTTAAATATATAAAGTATAAATATTTTGTAACAATGTAAAAGTCTTTGTCACTTTTGGTCAATTTAAAATGGAATAAAATTATATCTTTTAAAAGAAAAAAGTTAATGACTCCAAACTGTAGTGTAAGCATACATACTGTACATGTATCTGATATATATATATATACACAAGTAAACAAAAATAGACAAAAATTCTATGCACAAGTGTGCTATAAATAGAATAGAATAGAAGTATGTACACTGTTTTTTCCTTTAAATTCTATCCCTTCCTTTTCTTTCGTGTGGTGTATGTAGCTATGATCACTTTTCTTCAGTTTCCTTCAGTTTTTTCCCTGTGTCTCTGTTTCTTTCCTTCTACTCTGTGTGCTTTAAAGTGTCCCTGGCCATTTGTCACAGTCCGTGACTGTACAAACCTCTGTAACGCGTGTTCCTAGTCCCACTCTAGTCAGCAGCTCTGTGACCAAATCCAGGTACCCAGGACACACATACAGACACTCCCATGAGCGTGTGTGTAATACAGGCATGGGCACTCTTATCAATACTAATGTTCGGCACTGAGAGCTTGCATGTTCAAAGATTTGTCTTTACAAAAATGTCTCTATTTCTTTAGATTCATGCATCATTGCATCATCATGCATCATTGAGATCCCTTGGCAAAAACAGAGAAACAAATAGAGACATAATTAGCGTAGCTGCTGTTCCAACCAAGCAAAATTAATTTGTTTAACCCAAGCTAAAGAATAATAATGTGCATTTGATCAGATATAACTGCAGTACAAGATTATGAGATGCATTATTTGAATGCTTGGCCAAAGAGATGTGTCTTTATTCTAGATTTAAACCGAGAGAGTGTGTCTGAACCCCAAACGTTATCAGGATTTAAAATAGAATAAAATTATATCTTTTAAAAGAAAAAAGTTAATGACTCCAAACTGTAGTGTAAGCATACATACTGTACATGTATCTGTCAACAAATGAATCAGTCAGCAAGAGCTTTATTGCCAAGTATGTTTGTATATTCAAGAAATTAGTTTTGGTGACAGAAGCTTACAGTACATAGAGAGCAGGACAACCACCTAGCAGTGCATTACAATAGTCCAGTCTAGAGGTCATGAATGCATGAACTAATCCAAAAATTTTGTTTTATTTACAACTTTGAAAAGTCAAATTAAGAACCAGCACCATCTTGTGGTATCAGGCCAATACAGATCATTAGTTTACGTTACTAGAATTAAGAGTGAGAATTTCAAAAGCACACCCACAATTTCATGACTACAAATAAACTTATCCTGATCATCACTGACTTCTGTTGAGCTATAATATGTTATTAATTTTGTAAGGTCATGAAATGGTAACATTTGTTAAATGCGTCTGAATTACTTGTGAAAGTATGACACATTGCTTGGAGGGATTCGAGTCATGTCGCTTGTGTTTTTTTGCTTCATCAGCAACATGTTGAGCATATAAACTGCATGACATGTTTATCTTCACATGCTACTATAATCTTAATATGAAGAAATGTTTTATTTGTCCTTGAAAATGTTTAACACAGACATTTATTCATTTGTGTTGATAAATGGACTGCTGAATGAACAACACATCCAAAATGCTTTATTCATACTGTAACATGAATCACGATTGCTTGTATTTTCTATGCATGCACGTGTGTTTAATCCAAGTTTATGTAAGTAGTTATTTACACAATGTTGTGATTCTTTAGTATTATCATAATTATATATGATAAATACAGTCATGCAGCCCAGCCTTCCAGGTGATATAATGGAATTAATATGAAACACATTGGGTGTTCCTGAACAGTCTGGTGTTGATGTGCCCTACAGCTTGCAGGCTTCATCTCAGCAGAGCTCCATGGTGAGGGAGCAGGCCAGAGAGGTTCGGCTGGCTCAGGAGGCAGTGGAGACGGATCGAGCTCGCCATGCATCTCCAGGGGAGGATGGCCAAGAGGAGCCAGATCTTTCCACGCTCAGTCTGGCAGAGAAGATGGCACTCTTCAACCGCCTGGCACAGCCGTCCAGCCACGGCCTTCGGGCCAGGGGAGACACTCGGTCACGTAGGAGTAATGCCCGCTACCAGACTCAGCCAATCACACTAGGAGAGGTTGAACAGGTATGTAACATTTCTGTCTCTTCATTAAACACTTAGACCATGCTTATTCATGTCACAGTTGAGAATTGTATCAGTTTAGTGCATTACTCATCGTGTAATTTAAATCATGAATCATGACTGGTCATTAAATTAAGCACATATGGGTGTGATCTTTGGGTGTGCACATGCTTTTGGCCATATAGTGTATGTCAGTTAAATACTGGAGGAGAATAGAAAAGACTGAAGCAATGAAGCTATAAAGCAAGTCAGAAATCGGGGGTTAAGAAGTTGCAGGCTGATCCTGAAATTACATACTCTGAGTAGGTACTTTTTTGTTTTTAATACTTACTTTGCAGCCTTTAAAAAATTATGTTCTGTATAGTATTAGCGTGAATGAAATCAGATGCATTATATTCGTAATATTGTCATTGTCGTGACCTACAGCAAAAGTTGCATCGCTTCACTACCATTCATGTTCTGTTTTCCACCTATTTTATGCTACGTTTCACTGTATAAAAAGTGAAAATGAGTCTGTAAGGGATTAAGGTATAGTACAGTCTTTCAGCAAACTTTCGAAAGCTAATGTGATTGTTTTTTTTGTTGATTGAACAGTCAGTTAATCTATAATAACCATACATTTATATTGTGTCGTTAGACTTTAACATTTTTAATAGGTCTACTATTATTTTGGAAAATGTCATAAGGATTTTTTTCTTATCAACCGAAATGTTTAGCAATATTGTTATTATATTTTTGCTCTTATCGCCCACTCTTACCGTGTACCCTGATTTAAGTTTATTGGACATATGTTGAAGTATTACATCCACAGACATGCAATCAATCTTAGTTCTACACACACAGACACATACGATTGAACATTTAAAGGGGTTTGTCTCTGATGCAGGATGATTCTGATTCTGAGATGTTTGACGAGGAATCGGAGTTCTCAGAGCTTCTGAGTGATCTGGAACATGTGAGGATACCAGAGTCCTCTAGAACCGTATGATATTTCGTAGAAACCAAGGTTTTACTCAGCCTGCACTAAAACCATTGTCCCGTGTCTTAGAAGCAGTTGTCCTAATGCTTCAGCATATATGTCCCTATGTGCCAGTAGGCTGAATTCAGGCATTTCTTTTAAGCATCTTGCTTAGATGATCGTACAACCCCAAAGAAGGCATGGAGGTAAATGCTTCTGTTTGTGAATGTAGTTCCAGATTGCTGGTAGATCAAGTACTGGCTTCGCAGTCTTTGTGCTTTTGAAATGGAGTTGAGAAATGTTAACAGATATGATGTTTTGTCTGTTTATTGTGTTTTATGTATAAACATCATTAGTGCTGGGTTACTCTGCAAAGAAATTTGCTATAGTGTGTTTTGCTTTCTGTGATTAGAGAATGACTAAGCATGGAAAAATTGTGGAAAATGCACACTGGAATGTGTGTATAATCAAGAAAAAACTATTTCTAATCACTATGGGCTATTATTATAGCCCATTTTTAGGGCTTTATCACACGTGCTTTCTCCCTTAGTTTGGTTAATTTAGACATATATGAACATAGTAAACGTGCTGTTACTAAAATAATCGTTTCTAGCATCACCTGATCGAGCCTTGGCCCAATTGAAAACTCTGGGGTGGTTGTTAAAAGCAATATGACCCAACAAGCCAAACAGTATTGTAATGCAAAATGTTACTTAAAAAAGATGAAGAGGTACTTTGTTGTTTTCAGCTGCAAAAAGACACTGCTGCTTTTAAGTAACATTTCCCACATACTGCCCACCTCTATTCATTATTGTTCATTTCTATATTTACTATTATGAATATTTAAATTGTCACACTCCATGCACTGTGATCAAGCAGTTCTCTAAGGAAAGTTGGTTGTGGTTCAGTGGTTGTCATTGAAGATGTTGTGTGTTGTTGCCTGTGAAGACTCCCTAATGAATGAGTGGGAGGTTTTGAGTGCTTTTAGGAGAAATGTGTCAGTGCTGAATGCTTACTTTATTTGGACATCAATGATCTTATTCTGAATGTACACCACAACTCTGCCTAAAGCCCTGCTGACACAGTAGTGTTAAATTCAATTGATTGTGTCTGTGACTCAGTGTGTCTGTTTCTGAGGTCATGATGGGAACAGTCGGGTTCAGTATATAAAGGGCATGGCTTTGTGAATGGTTTTGTTATTAGCTGATTTGATGCTTGCCTTTCAGCTACCGGAAATGCACTAAGTCAACCTCTGATTAGTCAGCATGATTGACGTGTGTCTGCTGATGAACTGTTGATGAATGTGCTGTTTCCTGCCCATGCTGACTCACTTTTTGTTCTCATCCCATCCCTCTCTCTTTGCTCTAATCTTTCTCTTTCTTATACTGTTCACTCTGAAATCTATCCTTTCCTTTTCTGCTCAAACTTTTCATCCTTCTCTTTTATTGTCCTCTTGTAGCTGCAGCCTGCAGGTGGAGCTCGTTTTGCATCCACCTCTACCTCAGCCCTGAGATCCTCAACCGTTTCCACTGAACATGCTGGTGACATCCACCTGACCATGCCCGATGTATCTGGCCCTGCCTACTATGAGCAGACCCTCTCCCCACCTTACCAACCTCAAACTGCTCATCAGGGCCCAGATGTGTTCCCGGTGGCCCAAGGAGAAAAGCAGTTATTGAGCATGGGGAAGAGGAAACTCCCCTCTCCAGAGAGCATGAAACAAACACCACATGCTCAACCGGCCAGAGACTGGGAGGAGTTTAAAGGGCACAATGAGGCTCTGGTGACCCCTCAAGACCCTTCAGAAACAGATGGAGAGCACAAGTCAAAGACAGCCATATCAGGTAGAGAAATATAGGTGATGTGTTTTTCTAAGTGGCACATCTTCTCATACGTTTCTGTACTTCAAAGTATTGTTATTTAACTCTTATCTTTTGTATTTTTTTAACCTGTTTTTCCTAGTTAATAATATGGCAAGATGCTCTCTGTAAGAACAGTGCACATTTACTGATATATAGTTAGACGCATACAGTAAAACATGTACAAGTTGGTGACGCATCATCCAATACATTTTATTATTGGGGGAAATTGATGGACGTAGTTGTTTATTTAGTTATAATTTAATTTGGCCTGACTGTTTGGGTAAGATGAGCCCCTAAATAGGACAGATAGCCCCTTGGGAGAGAAGTCAGGTCACAGCTGTCATTGTATATTTACTAAATATGCCAAATATATCTGATATCATTATAAATAATACTTCCAAGCAAACATTTAGTGGAGTCAGTAAGATCTTTCTATATGTATATGTATGTGTGTGTGTGTGCGTGTGTGTGTGTGTGTGTATATAAGAAATTCATACTTTTATTAAGAAGAGGTGCTTTGATGAGTGTGTGAAAGTATGACATCTCTGAATAGTTTGTGTATTTTGTGATTTGATGATATGAAAGGAAGACAGCAGAGCAGTGTATTTCTTTAAAAAGTGTCATTAATATTTTTAAATTTATTTAATTAAGGTCACTCAAATGGAATAAAATCATAACTGACAAATCTCAAAAATCTCAAATCTCTGCTGTACATGTGTTCTGTGCTGATATCAGTGTGACTTTACAAAAAGATTGGTGTGGATAGGATATGATGTGCGTCTGTTCTGTAGAGTCTTCCTGTTTGGTGTCTCATTCAGGCTGGTGGTTTTAAACTTTTCCCCATTTGAAAAGACAGAAAGATGTCTGTCTAAGCCACATGGTCACAGCATGAGCAACAAAACTTCCCTTTATGCTTAGAAACTGACACTCATTTCCTGTGTTACATATTCATCAGTTTTACTATGTGTATTCACATGCTCAAGCGAGCATCAACTCTTGATAGGACTGAGTGTGTGTGAGAGAGTTTAGCTATGTTTGTATGTGTCTGTGGTGGCTCCGCCTGTCACTGAGCTGTTATTGATTGTATCACTGGGGCTACTGTAACCCTTTCCTGTATCTGTGTTTTAACAGATCTTCCTGTGCACACAGCCGCAGTACGTGCAGCGGCAGCTGTATCGCAGGGCTCATCCTCTTTACGGAGCGGCGCTCTCGCACCGCACACGCACACAGAGTCTGCTGGACACCTCTCGGAGGACAACAGGAGAGAAGACGAGCAGGAGACTGACTTTAAAACAGAGGAGGGAGACAAGTTCTCAGACATCATGTCTGCCAGACAGATGTCCATCAAAGAGAGGTGAGTGTATGAAAACATTAAATATCCAAAATTACATCTTTGAATAGTTTGTGAAGTTTATGATGTGGTGATATGAAAAAAAGTCAGCAGAATGTCATTTGTAAGTGTTTTCTCTTGCATAGGTCAATGTATACCTATAGATGTATATTGAAAACCGATATCTTTCTATCTCGGTATAAAGCAGGACATTGTAAATTGTGTAAAACAAGGTTGCCTTAGACTTTTCTGTGTGTGTTCCACTTTGACTATTTGGGGAAAGTGGGTTGCACTGTGTGTATTTTGAATATATGTCAGTTCAATAATTCTATTTAGAATGAGAGCTGGGAGAAAAATTACATTAGAAATGGAAACATCAGATGCTCAAAGTCCTTGCACAACATTTTTGACTATAAATTAGGTCATTGTCGATAGTAATGATGCTGCGGTAATGTCTTCGTGCCATCTGACTGCCTCCTTGTGTTGTGGTCTGACAGGAAGCACACAGATGGAGGAGGACAGATATTAGAAAAAAAAAAACTTACTTATGTGTAGCATATTCCAGTTCCATGTAACACTCTATTGTGTATAACTGTATAGATTGGTTTGTTTAGTTTTGTAAGAGCTGTACTGCTGTGTCCGGTTTGAGATCAAAGTATTGTGTAACTGATGGGCATCTGTCTGTTGCCATAGGAAGCAAGCTGATGCAAGCTATTCAAATTGATTAATGACATAATGAAAACCACTCATCTGCATATATACAAAAAATGTAGCCACACTTGAAAAGAGTTTAGTGCATGTCAATGAGCATGGAAAATGCCTATTTGTTGTTGTGTTTTTTTTAACTTTTCCACAGAGATAAATATGCAATATAAATTTCTGTTTGTCATGAATGTTTAGTTACACAATCCCAGTCAAAAGTTTCAACACACCTAATTGTTCTTCAATATACAGTTTTTTTTTGTTTTTGTTTTTTAATATGCATAAATATACATTTGGAAATTACAAATATACATTCTGGATTGCTTTTCAACAGTGTTGAAGGAGTTCCCAAGCATGCTTGGCTCTTGTTAGCTGCTTCACTATCTGGTCCTTCTCATCCATTAAATGTTTTTAAGAAATTTAAAAGTCTACACAATTAATAATTAGTAAATGCATCTACAAATTTAATTTCAAGCATTTAAAAGTGTATATAAGATTTTTTAGATCATTTCATTCAAGAATTCATGATGACACATGATTGTGTCTCTCGCAGGCTGGCTCTGTTGAAGAAGAGTGGAGAGGAAGACTGGAGGAACAGGATAAATAAGAAACAGGATGTGGTGAAGGTTGCTGTGTCTGAAAGACACGCCCAGCTATGGGAAGTGGAGCAGAGCTTCAAGAAGAAGGTAACCTCTGAACCTTGAACTGTCTCAGCTGACCATACAGGTCATAGGTCATGGTGCGTTGTCTAATTTCATATACAGTGTGTATTCAACAGCTGTTGTTTTAGATTGATGAATATATATATTTATATTTATATATATATATATATATATATATATTTTGTAACATCTTGTATTATCAGCTCCGGTTGATGCAGAGTAAATATCATGCAACTCGTTAATTTTGTGATTTAGTAGTTTAGTTTGCATTTGTTGAATAGTCCAGCATTTCAGCTTAGAATTGGCCTTTGTGCAGTTGAGTAACTCTAAACAGAGAAGGGGTTTGTGCTAGTCATTGTTTTCTTATCTTGTATTATTTCACTTTATTCTGTCTTTTCTGTTAGCATGGTTTTGTGGTGTGCATGGGTCACTTTTCAATTGTTTTTAAAATGTTATTTTATTTGCTTCTGTGTGAAACTCGACAGTTCTAATCTGTATACAATCTCTATAGCAGACAGGTTTGCTCAGAGCTAGCCAATCTATTTACTTTTAAATAGTGTAGTGTGATTGTTAATGATGTTTAGAAATTGTCAAATTAGAGGTATTATTTATGCACTCTTAATTTATTGTGACTGAAATTAAAAAAAAGGTTTTAATAGGGCTGGTAGAGATCACGTGGTCATCATGAATGTGTACATTTTTATAGCAAAGGGTTCTGGATTATTTGTATGTTTGATACAGTATATGTTCTTAACCTGCATAATCTTGTCTTTCTGCTAGTCCACTACTTTACTGAATGTTTTTTTTTTTTATTATAATAAAACATGTTTCAAAACTTTGCATGCTTGATGCTAATTCTCTAGAACGGTGGGGGATGTGGTGAGGTTTCACATGCCTTTCTCTGTTTGGATTTATTCTCTAGACTATTCACTTCACTTGCAGGGTTTTGATATCTTCAGGTTGCATAAATTCTGTAATGTGATTTACTTATAACATCACTTATTACAAAGTTCAGCATAGGAAATTAGCTATCATTAGAGCCAATACTCAGCTGAAGATCTGGCAGATCAGATTTAACAATCACAATTTATTTACAAGATCTTCTTTCATCAGCATGAAAGTTGCCATGAAATGAAAATTATACTTTTTTTTTTTTTTCATTTGTTCTCCCTGAGATCTTGTGGTGATGTATGCAGATCGTCTCCAATCATTTAGTCTTCTTAACCCTTCCCTTTCTCACAATAAACTGCAAGCTCGCATTCAGATCTGCTTCCATTCAATCAAACGTTTCACTCAGATGTACATGTAAATACGGGGAAAAAAATATTCAGTTGTATTCAGTTTCATTGCGACTTTAATACTTGTAGATCAGAATATGTTAATACAGTATTTCATGCTGATTTAACAAATTAGTTAACTTCTAATATGAGTAGCATTTTAATAATATTGAGAATCACAATCCGAGTTACTTTATTATTAGAATTAATGCAGGTAGCATCTTCAGACTGCATAATAAACATGTTTATTCTTCACAGTAACCAGATTAAAGGTTAAGTTCAGTATCCAAGCTTTTAGTAGGGGATAATTTCTCCCCTGTTCATTTTACCCCTTTATGTAGGATGATGGGATGATGATTGATGACTTTGCCGTGTCTGATCAACTTTGGGTAAGGCTGTTAGCCATTAGCCACTGTGCTAACAAGCTTAGCACGGGTTTAGCCAGCGTACCAGGCTTATGGTTTTGTTTTTGTGTTTAATCCTTGTAATCACGGTGACGTCAGTGTGCTGTCATGGTGTTTCGGATCTTGTTGTCAACTCAGGATTACCCAGTTGCTTGTGGTGGTGATTTTATTTGCTTGTTCCTCTCACATTGCTACCATGGTGACGGTATGATTTCTGCAATGTCAAAGTTTGTTTTCTATTATATTTTAACAGCCATTGTGGTGGCTTTGTCGTTTTACCCAATGGTGACTTCACGGTTATGGTGTGGTATTAATTGCCTTGTTCAACCACTCTTATAGATAGGCTACAGGCTTTCAGTTAGCTTTAGTCGTAAATTTTACACACAGTGACAGTATCAATTAATGACCTGATGAGCCTTTGAATTTATGATTTATTTACAGTACTGTATCTGCCCACTTATTTCATTTGATTCCAGTACTTTCCATTAGGGTTTCTCTTGAAACTGCTTGATTGACAACATAGTTTGGAGAACGATTTCAGCATCATTAGATTCAGGGTGGTTGTACAAGGATGGTGATTGTGTGTTGTATTTTAGATTTGACTATAGCATTGTAGCAAATTACTTTGTCTTGTCTAGAGGTCATGTGGTTATAGAGGTGACATTTTGTCTAAGACCAGTGTCACCTGCATGCTGCCTGTCCCTGGTCTTCCTCTTCATTCCCTCCTGTTTTTTCATGTGTCTCTCCATCTTTTGTCTTGCTTCCCCTCTCTGTCCTGTCTGTAGGATCCTGTCTTTTCCTCCTCCTTTTCGTGTGTCTCTGAACCACTGGATCAAATAGCAATCCTCCCCAAGGTGAGCAAAAACACCCAATGTAAACTATCCTCTTCATTCCGCCCTCTGATACTGACAGCCGCCCTCTTTTGACCACTAATATTTTTTCCCCCCCATTTTTAATTCCTGCCCCATACTAAATCCTCTTAAATTTATGGTTAAAGCACGTCAGACCAGAAGTCCACCATACAAAATGCACGGACAGTGTTTCAGGGATGGCAGTTCATTGCCTGTATATATTACCTGTGTTATACTTGCATGTAACAAAGAAATGTACATAAATGGTAACAAAACAAAAATAAGAAATATAATTATTAAATAAACAACATCTGGCTTCTGCGAACATCCTTTTACTTTTTATTTTTTATTTTTTTTACAATGCACATCATTATGTACAAGCATTTCTTGAAGTCTAAGAAATTACCTCTTTGTATTTCTTGGATTAATTGAGCACTCTCAGTTCTTGTCTTCTTGACAGATTCTTGTCTTCTACTAACTAACTCTTAAACTCTTGAAAACCCTAAAACCCTTTTGGCCTGTATAAATCTTTCTACCATCTTCATTATCTTGACCAACTGATAGGACGACACATACATGCCTATATAATTCTGTTTGACCGTAAAACTAAACAAGGAGTAAGAGGTCAGCGGTGCAGTGAAGAATCTCCCTCCTATGTCTATTCATAGGAGCCTCTTTAGTCTAGCATGCATCCTCTCACCTTTTATGCTTTCTTTCCATTCTTTTCTTATCCCTCATTCCTCCCATCTGTCTTCCTGCTCTTCCCTCTGTGTGAAGGCTACCCCCCTGCCCGTGCAGGTGGATGAGCATCACCCCTGGAGACGGAAGGTGCCTCTCACCCCCAAACACACATCCACTATTCCTCCATAACACAACAATAAGACTTGTTGTAATGTATGTAAACGTATGTATGTTAAGTGTTTTTGTGGTGTTGTATTTGGTGTCTATTTTGGAGAAAATAACTAGCTAGTTTGACTACATATGAATATTCTGTATATTTTAGATGCTTTTAATTTGGTGTGTTTCCAGGGTAATGTTAGGAAAACGGTGGCTAAGTGTGTATACTGAAAGCTTTTTTCATTATTTTATTTGAGTTTTTTTTTCTTGGCTAAATCTTTTATGAGATGTGTTGTTTCTCTCACTACTTTTATAAACATAATGTTTATCAACAAAGTAGGGGTCGACCGATATGTGATTTTCAGGGCAGATACAGATTATTACATATCAAGTAGACCGATAACCGATATTTTGAACCGATATATATGTCTGGTGTAAAAATGAAAATTAATGTCAAAATTAAGAATAACAAGGGCTCTGACAAAAACTGCCTTTCCTGGTGTTGGTTGAGTGTAGTAATCCCACACTGCACTTTTTACTCTTGTCTTCCTCTGTGCATCATAGCCTTTTACATGCACACTTAGTTCAATAGCCTATTGAAATGTCTTGGCCTATGTGAAACTATAAATTTCAGTTCGTTTTAATTTACAGTACAGTGCAAATGAAGGCATAAATCAGTTTAATTTATCTTTTAATCAAATGATAGTTAAACTATTTATTTTTTTGGCAAAGGGTTTACTATTAAAATTAAAACATGTTAGAAATAGCGTATTGTGTGATTATTCTTTTAAACAAAAGTTGTAATAATAGTTGTAGTATTATGTATATCATACTGCACCACAGTAATATATTTCTGATAATTTCTTTAAGCTAACCCAAACTTATTTTTGATGGGTTGCCATGAGGAACTTTTACGTTTCTGTAGCCTATGTAAGTGTTTCCCATACATTGATTTATTTGTGGCGCCCGCCACAATATCAGAACTGACCGCCACAAATAGATCACAAATAGATTTTCCAAAAGGCTTTGACTTCGTTGAATAAACATGAGCACTGCACGTTTCAAAATTGTATGTGTAGAAAACAAAACCGCGCGTATGTACCATTTACATACACAGAGACACGCAGAACATGCAGGATTCATATTTAAATAGTATTTTTGCGGCTTAATATTTACAGATACTAGTCCATATCGCGACTCTATTTAAGTGTACTGACCTACTTTTGATTAATTCATCCAAACTTTGACAAATTCCGTGATATTCCGCGTCATACAGGAAATTCCATTTATATGACTGGATTCCGTACACATTTTCTGCATCGCAGAAATCATAGATAATATTGAGGTGTTTTGCAACTTCAGTGTAACGTTAGTGGATTGTAATTTACTGCAACTTAAGCAACGTCTGCTGCTGCCTTACCTTTGAGAGACAACTGGTGCGTGATCACTGAAGCAGCTCCAGTTAGCAAGGCTTTCGGAGTGAGAGGGAATTCCTCATTGATTGGTCAGACTCGTGACTCCCAACAAATCAGATGGGCGGTGGGCGGAGATTGCTTTAGGCCACAGAGTGGTGAGTTCTGACAGGCTGCATCAGAGCCAAATAGCGCGTTTCAAAATTAAGTTATTTTATCGGCGAATCAGTTTGGAAAATGACCGATACCGATAATCGTAAAAATGCTTAAAATCGGCAATGATAATCGGTCGACCCCTACAACAAAGCATCGCTTTTAGATTAAAATGATTAAAAAGATATTTTAATTAAAGTGTGAGAACATGGTTCACCCTGACATTGATGTAAATGCTTAATTTTTTCTCATTTGTCATCTCAGAGGATGGGAAATGAGGTGGTGGAGAGTCAGCAGATTGAGCAAATCGAGATGTCTATTCAGGAACGCAAGCAGCTCATCACCACACAAGAGGATGCCTGGAAGGTCAAAGGTTACAGAGCATCCAATGACTCCACTCAGTTTACAGTGGCTGGACGTATGGTTAAAAAAGGTCAGTGAAAACTGCACATATTGCGTCACAGCAGTGACACAAATTGAGACTTTTTAATGTATTTTTGTACTAGGTAGTTTTGATGTATATAGTTTTGCTTTGTAACTGTGTTAAACTTTCTTCTCTGTTTTCTCTCTCCCAGGTCTGGCAGCCCCTTCTGTTCTCACAAATCCAGTGCTGTCCCCTCTGTCCTCTAAAAACAAGAATGCCTCCCATACCATCTCAAAGCCACATGAAGGTGAGAAACCATACTGTACTCATATTCAAGTCCAGCTTGTATCACTTCCTGATCCCGCTACCCTTTTTTTCCAATTGTATTTTCTGTTCTCTTTCTACTATGTCTGTCATATTTTTTTTATATTTATATGTCATGTATGCATACATATGGTTATATCACTGCTGTATTTTCTTAAGCAGAGATAGAAGTCAGACAGGACATGAAGCTGGAGTCAGACAAGAAGCTGGAAAAGTTGGAGTCATTCCTTGGTCGGCTCAATAGTAAAGGTGAGTGTGATAAGAAAATATGTAATGAACTTTAAAGATGTTACATTTTGTCCTATATCAACTTTATTCAGTTTATTAATTATTAATTAATGTTTTTATACATTTCTTAGTTTCAGGACTTCAAGAGGCCACGATTGCAGTCACAGAGAAGTCTGTTAAAGAGGTCATGACTGTGGATGATGAGATCTTCAATAAGTTTTATAGACACACAGAGGATATGGACAAGATCACTAGCAGGGTGGAAATCAATGACGATTTTGATGCCATTTTTGGAGTGCAGTTGCCCAGGTAAAGCCAAAAGAAATGTGTAGCAATTGTGGTGCTAAAAGTGGATTTTGAAGTCGTCACTTTACAAACAGCCATATTTTTGTTTTAGAATATTAATTTGTTTATTTACAGCTTGACAAATACATTTATTTTTTTTAGATTGACTTCAGACATGGTGCAGCACAAGCGTGCAGTACGGCCAACCAGAAACGTTCAGTCATCCAAAAACCCCCTGAAAATGCTGGCCGTTCGGGAGGACATCAGACATGAGTACACAGAACAGAGACTGAATATCGGCCTTCTGGAGAGCAAGAGGATGAAACGGGAAAAGAGTGAGTGATTGAAGAAGGGTGTAGAATTGGACTACTCAGTTTATGAACCCATTTCTTTTAAATATGCACATTTATATAAGCAATATCACACTTGTAGACGTGAGATATGGCTGCATATTGGCACGCTGTGATTTGGCTGTAGGTAATCACAGCGTGCCGTTATACAGCCATATCTCACGTCTACGAGTGTGGTATTGCGTTTATACAACAGTTTGATGGCATGAGTGTGTAAATACATAAAAAATAACAACGGAGTGTCTTTAAAGCCCTCTTTTGTGCAGAACTACTTCCTCCACGGATTCAAATCTAAAGTTGACAGTTTAACAGCTGAGCCCAAGCCTCCGTTACTAATTCCAAATCGTCATTTTAGAACTAGTAACAAAGGAACATTGAGTTGCTTCATTAAAAGCATATTGTATTACTGTATTAAAAGTGGTGTATTGTGTATAGTAGAGTTTTATGAGAGAGATTGACTGAGCGATTGTGATTACCTGCATCTGATACAGCATTTATTCTTCAGATCAGTCTCATATTCACAATTAGTATGAACATCCGATAGGCTTGTACCATATCCTTTCATCTGTTAAAGGAGATTTCTGATGACAGCGCAGCTCGGTGCATTTGTTGACTGCATACAAACTTTTTGAAAGAAAAAATAACGTCCTTGCTCAAAACTGCACTTAAGTATTTTTCAATTGAAAAGTCTTTACTGCTGACTCGTGAAAAAACATTATCTTGTCGCCATCTGATGGCGGAACAATGTAACTAAAATACTAATACTAAATACTACTATTATTTATATAAAATATTATTTATTGAATAATAATATTTAATAAACAAAAACAACAACCATCATAAAAGCTGCTAGGCAATTCGGTCAAAAGTACAAAGGCAGCTCTCTGAAATACAGCATTGAAGTTACATAAACATGAGATTTTGCCAAAACTATTTGCTCTGGAACAAATAATAGCTTCATGAGACCAAAGACTGCCCATTAGATTTGCCCAAAACGAAATATATCTCATGTTTAACCACTATAGAGACACCAGAGCCAGCGGTAAATTCCAGAAGATCTGGCCGAGGTGAGGCGCTCTCTCCACGGGTTTATGAGCGCTGAATGACCGCTGATGCCCTGGAGCTTACTTCTCCAAAACGTCGAAGCAAATTTTCAAATAGACGTTATCTTTATTAATAAACTGCATATTTGAAGTCCAAACAAGTACATTCTCGCCTAAAATGCTCTTAAAACTACACTCTGTGACACGAAACTGTATTATTTTTTAAATTATAGTGGATTTGGGCATCTGCCATGACACTCGCTGTGAGAAATACGGCAACTTCGGCAAGCGGAGTGATACAAACGGTGAAACGGCTGTTGGAGTTCTGTTGGACTCTATTATCGACACTCTTACCAGCCAATCAGATTCGAGGACCATAAAGAACTGTTGTATAAAATTAGTTATAGTGTTGGAATTTCAGTCAGCCAGTGTGTGTGACAAACAGCATTTTTTAACTAGACATCTCATTCTACAATAAAAAAAAAAATTCTGCACAAGGATTTAGGTGATTCAGTGAATCATTTTTTGGATCTCTTGCCACCAAACTAACACAAACCGTTCCAAATGTAAGAGTGAGGATAGTATAGCGCAATACAATGAAACACTGTTTTGAGTTACTCTCTTTTAAAAGTTAAGAGTTCATGCTCTTGCTGTCTGTCTCTGTTCTTTTCCTCTCTTTCTTAGTGAATAAGAACAGCGGTTTCTCTGAGGTTGCTCTTGCTGGATTGGCCAGTAAGGAAAACTTCAGCAGTGTGAGTCTGCGAAGTGTGAATGCATCTGAGCAGAGTTCCAACAACAGTGCCATGCCCTATAAAAAACTCATGCTCATTCAAGTCAAAGGTGAGTGATGACAACAGCTGTTTGTGATGCACAAAATTTCAGCTCAGTGACAGGGTGGAGGGCTCCTTTTACAGATGGCTCTGCTGATCAACATCACCCGTTCTGACCTTGTTTGGGCACAGCTTTATTTGCAACGTTTCATATAAAGATTAATGGTCTCTGATTAGCAGCTAGCCATATAGAGTATGCTGTGTGTTTCTGTTGAGACAGCACTTATTTGGCAGTGAGACAGCCATGAAATATGCTGTTTACTTAAATGTAGGAGGGAGAAGCCATCTTGCGTGAGACCTGCTGCTTTTGTTATGGGGACAGCTGTTGTAGGATGTAGAAGGGCTTTGGATACCAATTCCTCATAAGGCATCCCTCTCAATCTAAACCTATGTGCATGTTCCCAAAACAACATTCTATCCTTAATAAAAACAGAGAAAGAAACCAGATAGTTCAACAACAACAACATATTATGGCCAACTGTAGTAATGTTCTGTTTAAAGGGAAGTTTATGCTGATTTTAACTGTTTTCAGTGCACATTTTATAAAAGTAAACTATAACATTTCATTGTAATGCATTATATCATAACATTAGGTGTCTTGGGTTTAAAATTCAACCAAGATTAGGCTGTACAGTCAAAGCAAATCACTTGGTTTGTTTGCAGCTGACATCAGGGCGTTCAGCATGTGACTCACATTGATAGTGTCCCAATTTCTCTGTGCATTTTAATCAGGTCGACGGCATGTCCAGACCAGACTGGTTGAGCCCAGAGCTTCCTCCTTGAACAGTGGTGACTGCTTCCTTTTGATCACATCTCATTATTGCTTCATCTGGATTGGAGAATTTGCAAATGTTATTGAGAAGGCCAAAGTGAGTGTGTCCTGATATGTACAAACAAATGCACATCACGCTATCAAGCTTTAGCATTGTTTAATATCCAGCTGTTAGCAGTATTGTTGTTGTTAATTAAAACTAATAAAATTAAAGCTTAAATAAAATAAAATATATAAATATGTATTAAATTGAAATTCTTAAACTTTTATTTCAGTTGTCAAGGTAACATTTCAGTTTTTGTCTAAATTTAAGTTGGAAAAAAACCTAATAAAATGAAAAAAACAACAATAATTAAAATGTAAACTAAAATTTAAATAAAAATGTAAAATAAAAGCTAATTCAGAATATTAATGAACACTAATAGTATATAAATAATACTAAAATAACACTGGATGTTTAGTGCAAGATGTCAGTATTAGTGACTCATATAAAAATGTTCTTTTGGTTCTCAAGATTTTGTTGCAGTTAAATCTGTCATATCCTGTACTCATCCGTGGTGTTTTCAGTACTATTCATATGTTGGTGAATCCCCCACGTGCAGGAAGTAAACAGAATTAACCACAAAGGAAATGTCATATTGTTGTACAGGAAGCAGGAGGTGAATTGTAAAAGCTCCTGTGTCTCTCTTACAACTTTCTATTATTGTTCAATCCAGACTGCAGTTCATTGAACTCGGAGTTTGACCTACATCTCACCAGTGATGAAATGGTTATTGTCTTAAACTAATGGAAAAGTCTTTTTAGGGGTTCAAGCGCATAACGCTGAAATCCTATTGTAATTGTTAAAATGGCCTGATGGTGACGCTACAGCGATCAAAAATCGCTCAACTCCTAAACCGTTAGTCGCAGCCTCAAGTGTCTTATATTGTTGGAATCCTTGGCTCACAACAGACAAAACACGTCTCAGATTTTTGGGTATTTTGAGTTTTTTTTTCCATTCCTAGTGCAGAAAGATTCTCTGGAGAGTGAATGTCAGTAATTATCAAAAAAAGTTGACTTACCGACTTTTGACTAAAACATTCCCAAGGGCCAGAGCTGCTTTTACTCAAATTTTAACTCTTGAATGGAAAAAAATACTTTCACCAAACTGGGAACACATGAAAGAGCTCAATCTGAGGTCACAATGGAAAAAAAAAAAACAGAGTTTGGCCGCTTAGTGGCACTATAACAGGAAAAAAAATACAAACATAAAACCGGCTATAACTACGCCCCCATTAGTCCGATCGATTTGAAAATTGGTATGCCATGTTTTTGTCCAAAGGGCCACAAGTGTCTATGAGGACATAAAAAAAAAAAACTACTCAAAAAAACATGGCCATTGGCCGATGAATTTTGAGCATCTATTAGCCAGGGTTAACTAGTCCTAGTTTTTTCACTCAACCTCGATATAAGCACTGCAGCACGATTCTCTGAACTCTCTAAATCAATAATTATCAAAAAATGTTGAACTTTACCCTTGGGTTGCTATAATGGGTTCGTTTAGAAAAGGGGCATGTCCAAATATACCCAAAAGCCTATAATTCCTAAATGAAAACTTCACCAACTAGCAGTGTTGCCAATTTAGCTACTTTGTAGCTAGATTTAGCGACTTCCCCTCCCCTTTTGAGACTTTTTTCAAAAGTTTAGGGACAAATATAGCAACTTCTTGGACAAACCTTATCTAAGTTCTCATCTTGTCCACTGATCTACGTTCATCTTTATTTAGATCAGTGAATTTGCCATTGTGATGTCATCTAGTGACATTTAGCTACCAGTTTTAGCTACTTTCAATTGAAAGCAGTTGGCAACACTGCCAACTAGGTGAGCACATGCGACAGATGATTCTAAACAAGCATGCAAAGTTTTAGGTGGCGCTATAACAGCCATAAATGTTAATAAGCATCATATTTCTATGGTAAATTACCTGTAATTGACAAAAATGCTCTTTTTAATCACTGATTTAGCTGACTACTGGCTTGTTAAATAATATACAGTGTCTTTTTCCTTATGTGCTTAAATGTCTTAAAGTGCTTGAACCCTGGTTATATTATATTATATTATATTATATTATATCATATCATATCATGCAGGCCGCAGAGTTAGCTACGTTCATTCAGACCAAGCATGACCTGGGATGCAGAGCCTCGTATGTGCAGACCATTGAGGAAGGTGCCAACACTCACACTCGTGCTGCCAAAGAGTTTTGGAAGATTCTTGGTGGCCAAGCCAGTTATCAAGGTAAGCACAAGCATAATAAGGCATGCTGATGTTAGAGCAGTTTAATGACCTTTACTTACCACAGTCCCTGTTAATATGGCCCTCTCTACCCTACAGCCGCTGGCACTCCAGAAGAAGATGAGTTCTATGAGAGTGCCGTCGTAGAAACCAACTGTATCTACAGGCTCATAGAGGATAAACTTGTTCCTGAAGATGACTACTGGGGTCGAGTTCCTCGATGCTCCATGCTTAACCCTAAAGAAGTACTTGAAAATACTACATATTTAATATTAGGGATGGTTTGATGAAATGAAATAAGATTTGTTTTTTAAACTTTAAACTAGCAATATATTTTATTCATATTATAAGCTACAGTCTACAAGGTTGCATGCTTGAAGTTGAAAAAATTGATTGCCTGTTTTAGGGTCTATGGTCATATTTGGTACGATTACCTACTCAGGCCAATACCTGACAATTAAATTAAAATAAATTAAATTCAGTTAAATTATAAATATATTGTACATCTATGCTAAACACTCTGTTATATAAAATGAACTAAAGTAAGGCAAATTCAAGTTTAAACCAACTTTTTATTCTTGTTTGAAATCTAGGTGCTGGTGTTTGATTTTGGTAGCGAGGTCTACGTATGGCATGGTAAGGAGGTGACGCTGGCACAGAGAAAAGTGGCATTTCAGCTGGCAAAGCACTTGTGGAATGGCACCTTTGACTACACCAACTGTGATATTAATCCTCTGGACCCTGGAGAGTGCAATGCAGTTATACCCAGGTACAAAACGGAACGGAGTATGTTTGGCTGTGCTGATGCGTACTGTTCCATCATAAATCAAGTTTTGGCACTTGTGACCTTTGAAAGCTCATTCACACAGGCCTTTCAGGTCAGAATTGTGCTGCTGTTGCTTAACTTACTACCCCTGTCAAAACAGTAGCGTAGTATCTCAGTGTTCATAAACTGCCAGCATAATTTCTGAGACCTGATGCGTATCTCCTAAAATACATAAGTGCTGTGTTCACATCTCATGGTTTTGTTTTGTTCTATTCTTATGAAGTTATATAGAGTAGTTATATACAGATTTGTATAAAATCTTTATGAAATTAAAACAATTATAGAATCTTTTCTAAATCTGTTCTTCATAGGAAAGGCCAGGGACGACCAGACTGGGCTGTGTTTGGCAGGTTAACTCAGCACAATGAGACTATTCTTTTTAAAGAGAAGTTTTTGGACTGGAGTGACTCCAAGAAATCCACAAAGAAGAATGGTGACTCGCATGCTGAAGAAAACAAGGTAGACTCGCCCAAAATAAGTTGCTAAATTAGAATCATATACTTCAGAATATATTTAAAATGTTCCAAAACGTCAAATAAAATTGGTTGGTTAATTTCTTTAGGAGCTTCGGGGTGGGGAATGCCGGCCATACGATGCATCATTGATGTTGACGACAGTACAGACGCCAGTCAAGACCGTTCTGGATGGGGTCGATGTTGGACGAGGTTATGGATTGGTGGAAGGTGACGAGGGGCGTAATTTTGAGATCAGCACATTATCTGTTGATGTCTGGCACATTCTAGAGTTTGACTACAGGTAGGATGGATCATTTATTTGTTAAGGCTATTAAATTAATGGGGTTTCATTATACAAACACTCTCTCTCTTGCTTGTTCTAGTCGTCTACCCAAACAGAGCATTGGTCAGTTCCATGAAGGAGACACATATGTGGTAAAATGGAAGTACATGATCAGTACAGCAGGTGAGTTGTATGTTGGAGGCGTGCATTGTAATGTTGTTTTGTCAACTAAAATATAAAAATAAATTCAGTTTCAGTAATTTAAATAAAATACAAATTTAAGATGGAAAACTTAAATGGGTGCTCTGGGAGCTAACTAAACGTTTAAGCACTAAAATTGCTAAAACTAGGGGAAAAATTTAAACTAAATGAAGAAAAAAATAAATAAAATGCTCTGGATTCTTTACTTGCACATTTTTCATATTTAATCTTAATTTAATTTAAATTAAACCTCCTCTCCATGGCCTGATGTTATTCCCACTGTGTCCCATCATACAGTCCATCTATATTCAAATGCTCTCATATGTATTAATTAAATTTTGTGAAACCACAAGATATAGTGTTTCTGAAAATGTTGTTTGACCATGATCCAAAACTCTCTGCTTTTTTGTACAGTTGGCAAGAGATTGCATTCAGAACGGATCATCGGTCCAGGGAAGGAGAAATGTTGTTATTTCTTCTGGCAGGGACGCAACTCCACTGTGAATGAAAAGGGAACCTCAGCACTGATGACTATAGAGCTTGATGAGGAGAGGGGTGCTCAGGTATTCACTATAGATCATCTTATACTTTAAAACTCATTTTTAGGATGTTCTTAAGCCTTTTCTCCACTGCTGTTTAAAAGTTTGCGGTCTGTAAGATTTTTTTTGTTTGTTTTCGAAGAAGTAGTCTCTCTTATACTCACCAAAGCTGCATTTATTTGAATAAAAAATACAGTGAAACGGTAATATTGTAAAATATATTTTAGTTTAAAATAACTGTTTTCTATTTAAATATAAAAAATAAAAAAAAATTTTAAGTTGTATTTTTTTTTCTGTGATGGCAAAACTGAATTTTCACATGATCCTTCAAGAATTATTCTAATATTTTCGCTTGATTCTGAAGGAACATTTGTTATTATTATCAATGTTGGAAAGAGTTGTGATGCTTAATATTTTTGACATGTTTTTCAATATAACAGCATTTATTTGAAATGAAAGTATTTTGTAAGAACAAGTCTGTTTAACACGATGCTTGTTATGCAGGTCCAGGTACAGCAGGGAAAGGAGCCTCCTTGTTTCTTACAGTGCTTCAATGGAGGAATGATTGTTCATGCTGGAAAGAGAGAAGAGGAGGAAGAAAATGCACAAAGTAATCTTTTTGCTAGCTTTACCCCACACACTGTTTATATTTTACATAATTTTACATCTTGAAAATCATATTTTGAACAGATTACTTCTTACAGACTTGACTCGATTTCCCTTATTTTTTTACAGATGACTGGCACTTATACTGTGTGAGAGGAGAGAAACCCCTAGAGGGCCATCTGCTAGAGGTCGTGTGCCACTGCAGCAGCTTACGGTCTCGCACCTCTATGATCCTCCTGAACATCCCAAAAGCCAGCATGTACTTGTGGCATGGCTGCAAAGCACAGATGCACACACGTGATGTGGGTCGTACCGCTGCCAACAAAATTAAAGAGCAGTAAGTCAACTCGCATGCAAACAAACAAACGGCACTTCACGTCAAAAAGGTTGCAGGCCCCTGAAGTAGACTTTCTGGTCTCCAGGTGTCCTCTGGAGGCGGGGCTTCACAGCAGCAGTAAGGTGTCCATCCAGGAGTGTGATGAGGGAGCTGAACCACATGGCTTCTGGGAGGCCTTGGGAAGAAGAGATCGAAAGGCGTATGACTGCATGCTGCAGGGTGAGCAGAGAAGCATGTGTCTGTGTGTTTGCATGCTGACGTGCGGGTGATTTACAGCATTCCTGCGGGTCCTTAAGAAGTCTTAAATTCAGTATGATCAATTTAAGGTCATAAAAAGTCTTATGTATTAAATAGGACAACAAAGGTTTTGAGAAACCGTTCACCAAAAATGAAAATTCTGTCATCTTTTGCTCACCCTCAAGTTGGAACTATTCACAATTCCTTTGATTATAATTTTAAGAGATCTTACATTTGGAGACAGGAAAGCAGGAATCGTTATACAGCCTAATGCGATTATTAAACTAAATGTGAGTGCTGCACATTTCAAAATAAAAACGCAGTGCTGTTGTGCATTTTACAGGCTCATGGTTTCAGAGGAGTTCACAATCAATGAATACTGCACATTTATGCAAAGCCATTGCTTATGATCTATTAGCAATGTTTACTTTATAGTGCTTGTTTTTAATATGTTGTAGATGTAGATATTGTATTTTATCTCCCTCATTTTTTTTGAATGAGCAGCTGTTAATAGTGGTGCATATGCATTCCAAAATAAGAGTCTCAAACTTAAAACTTCAAAAAGTCTAGCATTAGGCATACATTTTTCCTGCATATTATTGGTATATTGGTTACATAATAAACTGTATCCAACATTTAGTTCAATATAAACTCTTACCTCTTCTTTCTGGGCTACCCTATGACAGGAAGGTGAAAGCTAACATTGTCACATTCAATATATAGATTTTTTTAAGCAGCACAGTCTGTTAATTGTCTTTCTTTAAACACATTATTAGCAAAATCCAGCATTGATTAACTTCTAATTCGAATGTACTGATATTATATTAGTACATAAACCAAGTTTAATACATATGTACTGTATATATTAAATAAGACAAAACTATTTTAAACTTGCAGACCGTTACCCTGTTTTGCGGTCGAATATGTGCCTGTTTACATTAAAGAGATGTGATTTATTTTGAGATTGTTTGGATTTGCGCTAAATGGACATATAGTATTATTTTTATTTGTGCATGTCTTTAAAAAGATACTGTTGATTCATGTGTTTTGTCATGCTTCTCAGATCCGGGAAATTTCAACTTCACTCCCCAGCTGTTCCAGTTAAGCAGCACTTCAGGAGAGTTTGTGGCAGTGGAGTTTGTGTATCCATCTAGGGAACCAAATTTGGTCAACTCGATGCCTTTCCTACAGGAGGATTTGTATACAGCTACTCAGCCAGGTGCTTGACATATTCATGTTCACTAAACACTGTTAAGAGTGCTGTCTGATGTAACTTGTTAACTTGCACTGTTAGGTATTCTGGGTGGGTGTCAGTTACACTTTAATTAGGCTTTTCTACACTCATTACATGCATAATGTATTAAGGAAATTTGATTCTTCACACTGATTTAAAAATCATGAGATATGTCTGTGGCAGTGTCATGATGTCTCTACTTGTGTTTGATTGTCTTTTAGCCCTATTTTTGGTGGATAATCACCATGAAGTGTACCTATGGCAGGGCTGGTGGCCTCAGGACAGTGAGAGCACGGGATCAGCTCGCACACGATGGGACTCTGACAGGAAGTGTGCCATGGGAACAGTACTCCAATATAGCAAAGGTGACTTAAAAAGACACACCGGTCTTTAATGGTGTTAGGAAAGAAACAAGAATGATATTGTTTAATAAAGCATGATATGTTGACTTTCTAGCAGCTCCCCGTTTAAACTTCTTAGAGGTGGGCAAAATGACAACAATAAGATAAAGATTTTGATTGAAAATTACTTATATTGTTGAAAAGATTTTGGTTGATAATTGATGATTTGGTTCAACCACAGTGCAGAACAACACAATATAGTAAGGAAATCAGAGATATTTTATTTGAAATGAATTCATATTAAAACCCTTTTGCCCGGTTTCACAGACAAGTCTTAGTCCCAAACAAAAATGCATGTTTGAGCTGTCTTAACTACAACACCTGATCATATTTTCATAATACTTTTTGAGAGTTACTTACTCTCCCTTGGAACAAAACCAAACAATATTTAAATCTCTCAATAGAACAATACCGGCCAATATTTAAATCCTAAATTAAATCTGTTCGTCATATAAAGCGGTCATATAAATTCACAAGACTTCACAAAACTGCTCGATTCATATGGATTCATTTTATGATGGATATCATGTCACAATAAAAATAGCTTAATTTGTGGTTCAAAGATTAACAAAGTGATACAGCTTGACAAGTATGAACAACTTTCTGAAAAGCAGCTATGAAATGATGTGTATTGTAAAAAGATTTGACTTCAATTTTATAAATTTGACTTTACTTAATATCATTTTGAAATGAATTTCTCTTGAACATATATGTGCATGTTTTTATAACATACAAAGCTGCTGTGCTCATGGGGGATGTAAGTTCAAATCCGAACTGCATTATTTCCCAGTTTTTTTTGTATCATTTTAATTTTTTATTTGTTACCATTTTTATTGTAATTTAATATTCTGACAATATAAAAAAAAATCATGCAATAACATCACGTTGCTTTTGGTTTTATAGAAAAAAATGAGAAAAAAACTCCCAAATCATACCTGATCCATGCAGGACTTGAGCCTCTTACTTTCACTAACATGTTTCCCAGCTGGGAACACAGAGAGGACATCGCTGAGATCACAGAGAAGGTGAGAGAGAGAGTTTAATCCACATACCAAGTTTGTGTTATAAGAATATGGTTTAAAGATTTAGTTGTTTTCTGTGATTTATAGGAGGCTGAAGTATGTAATCAGATCATTCTGGTTGAAGACGTCTTGACTAGACTCTGCAAGACCACTTGCCCACTTGCTGATCTTCAAGCCCGTCCACTACCAGCAGGAGTTGACCCTCTGCATCTTGAGATCTACCTTTCAGATGAGGACTTTGAGGTGAGAAAAATCACATTAACAATGAGGTTTCAAAAGATTACTCGGTTGATTGTTTCGGTAGCGTTTAAGTTTCATTAGTTGTGCAAAAAAGCCTAACTTTATAGTTCTGGACTATTTAAAGTATTGTATGATTTTGAGACATTGGACAGGGATATTACTGAAGTGTATCTGTTCTGTAACATCTGTCTGCCTGTGTGTGCTCATATGTTCTGTCTTTCAAGTACTATCTGCTTTTATTTTGCCTTTTTTACCCTTCATCTATTTCATGTTTCTCCTTCTGCTCCCACTGTCATCTTAAAGCAGCCTCTCTTAACCTGTCTCTCCCTGCATCTTTCTGCTTTTCCCCTTTTTGCTGGTGTAGTCTTGCGTCTGATGAGGTTAATTTTTCCCTTCACATGCCAGGGTGTAGGGGCTTCTGGGAAGGTGAGTTTTGTTTCATGAGGAACACTGGTGTTTTCCCACTAATGCCGCATCCTCACTGTGTGAACTGCATCACTGTGTGCTTGTGTAACACATGCCATGGCACAAGCCACCTAGTATCTAGCAGCGTGTTGGGTCACTGTTCACCACTGTTATCTCACTGATTTTCTAGGTCTCACACATGGGGGTGAATTTTTCTTGGATGTACACTATGGTCCAAAAGTTTGGGGTCATTAAGTTTTTTTTTTTTTTTTTTTTTTAAAGAATGTAATACTTTTTTTTTTTTTTTTTAGTAAAAATGCATTTAATTAAATGTGAGTAAATACATTTTTTATTTTCTATTTTACATTTCTATGTTACAGAGGATTTCGATTTCAAATAACTGCCTTTTTTAACTTTAAAAACATAAAGCAGTTTTGAAAAATGTATCACAGCTTACACAAAAATAAACAAATATCAAATTAAGAAGAATAATTTCAGCTGTGTTAATAATAAATGTGTCTTGAGCACCAAATTAGCATATTCCAAAAGATCATGTGACACTAAAGAATGGAGTAATGGTTGCTGAAAATTTAGCTTTGCCATCACAGAAATAAATTACATTTTAAAAATAGTTATTTTAAGTTGTAATAATATTTCACAAATACTTTATTTTATTTTGTTTTGTTTTGTTTTGTTAAAATAAATGCAGCCTTGGTGAACCTAAGACTTTTTTTTTTTTTTTTTCAAAAACAAGAAATCATACTAACCCCAAACTTTTCAATGGTAGTCTTCTTTCATTCAGGCATGTGCTAATAATAAAATTGTTAATCCAGTAATTATTTTCATGTTATGGCATATAACAATAACCACTTTTTTCTAAATGAATAAAAAAAAAACTAAAATATATATTTTTTAAATGGGCATCACAACATTATAATATACTGTATAAAAACTTAATATTCATTTTGATTAGATTCAACAGTGTTTTTAAATTATTGTTTTTATTAGCTTTGAGTGTTAGATGATGGCAAAGGTCATTTAAATGTAAAAATGGGAGAAATGAGCATGAGCAATTAAAAATATTCAACATTGATTTTGACTATAAATAAAAAAAAAAAATCTAATATCAGCTAATAACAGAATATGGTACAAGTGAATTGTGCATCCCTAAATTAAATACTTTGTACTCTAATATTGTTCCCATTTTTGGATTGATGAGTGGCAGTGACCAATATCCTACAGCTCTTGTGTTTGTGTGTGATCGTTCATCCATTTTGTTCAGTCTTGAGTATGATTAACACTTGTGTGTCACCTGCATGCGTTTTTAAATCCCTACACTTAAAATTATATATGTGTGTATGTTCTCTGCAGAAAGCATTGGAAATGACAAGAAGTGAATATGAGGCACTGCCAGGGTGGAAGCAAGTGAATGTGAAGAAAGACAAAGGACTGTTTTAAAGGAACTTCTGACTGGGATTGAATCTGAAGTGGAGACCTTCTCATTCCTTTTGATCCAGACAGGACAAACGCAAGTGAAGATCTACCTGTGTCAAACCACACAGGGAGGTGAAAAGGGGCTGGATGAAGGAGAAAAGACACTGATGGGCAGGGGTTTAGCAGCCTCTTGTAGCACATTTCTCTCCCATTTTCTCCTTTTTTTTGTTTTTTTATCAGTGAATTAGCAAGTTTTGTTTTCTTGTTGAATGTTTTGAGTGCTCCCCAGCATCTTATCCTTCCCATTGTTCTGCATTGCTGTGTCCACATAAAGCCAGTCACCGTCCAACATGCACAAGGCAGCCCTCATGCACTGCCCAGCTTTATATAAAGACCTAATAAATGAAAAATGCCTTTTAGTTATTATCTAATTGTAAGAAAGCTCAAAAGAGCACTTTATGTAAGTACGTTCATACCTGCTCTCATAAATGGCCTCAAGATGTGTTTGAACCTTCCAGATAGATGCTTGAACTTGAGAACCCTATGTGTGTGTGTATGCGCATGAGAGAGTGTTTGTGAATCTATACAGTGTGTGTGTGTCTCTCTTCAAACAGGATTGAATGAAACTGTGGAATAAGAGAAAATCTCTTTCTATTCTGCGTTGTATAGTGCCTTGCCTTCATGTACAGTTTATATAAAGACAGATGCTAGTCTGCATTTTGAAAACACATGATATAAATACCAGCTTTATATAAAGACCTAATAAATGAAAAATGCCTTTTAGTTATTATCTAATTGTAAGAAAGCTCAAAAGAGCACTTTATGTAAGTACGTTCATACCTGCTCTCATAAATGGCCTCAAGATGTGTTTGAACCTTCCAGATAGATGCTTGAACTTGAGAACCCTATGTGTGTGTGTATGCGCATGAGAGAGTGTTTGTGAATCTATACAGTGTGTGTGTGTCTCTTCAAACAGGATTGAATGAAACTGTGGAATAAGAGAAAATCTCTTTCTATTCTGCGTTGTATAGTGCCTTGCCTTCATGTACAGTTTATATAAAGACAGATGCTAGTCTGCATTTTGAAAACACATTTGTGATATAAATAAATAAATAATGGTGCAAATAAACACTGAATAATGTAGATAATGAAAATCTTGTTTGGTGCTTTGTTTGCAAATCAGTTTTGATCAAACATTTGATCATATAATCATATATCACGATCATACTCCGTATTTTTGAGGTTTTAGCACTATGCATGTATGATTTTGATTTTGGTAATGTTTTGTTTGACATGCTGTGTCCCAATTCGCATGCTATCAAATTAAATTATATTAAATGGTATTCGAAATTAGATTTAGCGTGCCCCAAATCGTAGTATGTTGAAATGAGTGTCCTAAAGTTTCATGAATGGTTCATTATTTTCAGTGAAAATTCAAAGTGCTGATCCATGTACTATAAATATATGAAACAAACCACATTTTGAACTGGCAAATGTGAAGTCTCTCGAAGGAATGCGAAATGCTACTGAATAATAAAGTTCGGCGAGTGAACGCACATTTCTCAAGGGAACGTAAAAGAGCCAATGTAAATTTGTGTTAGTAAATGTAAAATTTCTGGGGGGGAATGCAAATGATTAAATAAACTTTTCCATCAACATGTAATTGTAGGGGCTCCGTGGTTTTCCACAGCCAGCATGTACTACAAAAATAACTTGGCAACCATTTAAAAGCTCTTTAGGAATAGAATTCCTGTTTGTTGAAATTTATAACAACATGCTTTATTGTGGTAATCTTGTTTTCCAGCTTTAAGTTCATGTTCTCAGTGTACCAATTATATAGTCATATAGTAGTGTTGTATCAAATAATGAACCCATTTTAAAGTAAAAAAAATAAATCAAAATCCATAAATACATTAGAACAGCAGAGGGCACTTTTATTCCACAAGTGAAAGTGATTAGTATTGCATCATCCCAGAATGGCCTATCATAAGGAAAACTGTGTAAAATATCTGAATATACATTTGCATTATCTCGTTGTCTCTTTTTTTTCTTCAACTTGCCATATTTCTGTATAGATCCATAATTCACAAAAATAAAAAAATATATAAATTGCCTTTTAAATCTCCATAGCTTTTGTATCTATTAATCTTTACTCTAACACAGTTCTTATTTTAGGAATACCCATGACAAATGACAAAAACTGAAAGTAGTTTCAAAAAACAAATGAGCACTGCCGTAAGTCCACAAGAGCACAATTAGGACACCGGCAGTGGAGGTTTTGAACTTGTCAGGTCAAGTGGGATTTAGAAGTCACATGATCCAATCAAAGTCGGGGCTAAAAATGTTGTATGGTCAAGGAGCCGCTTCCTGTCTGTCCGATTGAGGACATACCTACATCTCAGACAACAGCTCGGATACAAATGTGCAACCACTTTACACTATAGTGTACAATAGCCATTGTTGCAATTCGTATGAACATATTTGATCGTAACATTAACATGCATTTTATATGCATGTTTGCAAAGTGTAAGGGGGGTAAAAATAGCACATGCATATTCTGTTATATGATATGCATTCAATTACTAGACATTTCAGATGCTCTATTCTCTGTTACAACTGACATAGCACCATATTTTAGAGACTGGCAACAGGGCCTGGTTAATCCAGGATCTCAATAACAATACCCATGATCAGGGCAGACAAATCTGCTTTACCTGGAATGCAATAAACCTCCAGGCAAAGAATCTGATTGGCTGAATGGTAAAAGGTCACTGCGTGTGATTAGCTGGAATTTCTATACTGAATTTCCTATTGGTTGGAAAAGACGTAGGGTGTGTGGTTGATGGGTAATAAATGACCTTGAGGAACATCGAGCTGTGGGAATGTAGTGTACTTTTATTTTCTCTGCCATGAATCTGCTCATTTTGCGTTGACCTGGAGGTCTCTGTCAAGATTAAATATCTGTGAGAAACTGGAAATCACTTGAGAGCAGAACACAACATGAAACATGAGACAAATTGAATTAAACTGTTAGGCTAAAGGCCCATTGAGCTACAGAAATGCACACATCTTTGTACAACTGAGAGCTCATTCAAATAATGAGAATGAGGGCCGCTGAGGGGTGACTGCACAGAACACTCTTCCCGTCTTCTGCTGTGACAGTAGGTCAAGTGAATTGTAGTGCACTCGGTCAGTACACAAGGAAGGAACCAAAGCGGATTTAAGTTATCTCGTTAGTATCACTGGCTCGGATAAACTGTTTAAACAAAGTGAAGGGCCCTATATACAAACAAAGCTCGCATCATGTGGATGTTCTCAGCATTTCTGTGGTTAAAGGACATGTTCATTTTAGAAAACGAGCAAGAAAAGGGAAGGTTTTCCCAGCTAACTAAAGTGACACACTCAAAAACTTCAGTGTTTTTTAAATGATTCATGCTCACATACTATATACTATGAGCTAACTGCAAAAACTCACTTTCCAATACCAAAATTCCAAGGACTATGGGATTCTCTTTCGCTGATATGTATTTTTATGAAAAATAAATAAATAAAAACATTAACATTTTCTAAATAAAAAAATATAATTAAAAAACGTAATT